TGTTCCACTGCATGGGTGTTAAAATTCTTTCAGCAAGCAACATTTTGCATGCTAAAGCTTGTCCAGTAGAGAAATGTATCACCTGTCAAATGTTCAGTCCATGTTTCAGTGCTTTCATTTTTGAATATTGTCCAGGGTAAAATTTCCACTGACACTGTCAACATGATTTAAGTAATAGTTAAGCCAAAACTGAAAACGTACTCACCCTCAGGGCAGGTCTTTCTAGATCTAGATGTTTCTTCATCTGAACAGATTTGGAGAAATTTAGAATTACATCACTTGCTCACCGATGGATCCTCTGCAGTGAATGGGTGCTGTCTGAGAGTCCAAACAATTGATAAAAACATCACAATAATCCACACGAGTCATCAATTAACATCTTGTGACGTGAGAAGCTGCATGTTTGTAAGAAACAAAACCATTTTTTAAAGGAATCTCATTCTGACGGCACCCATTCACTGCAGAGGATCCATCGGTGTGCAAGTGCTAAATTTCTCCAAATTTGTTCTGATAAAGAAACAAATTAATTTACATCTTGAATGGCCTGAGGGTAAATACATTTTAAGATAAGTTTCATTTTTGGGTGAACTATTTTGAAGGAGTAAAATCCTGGATCCACGGCCGCTTACATACATGTCTTTTGTGTGGTTATTAATCTTTATTTAACCTCTTAGATTTTAGTTGATTGAATGTAGGTATGAGCTTTTGATCTTTTAGTAGTTAGTCAATCAGATGTATTCCGTTGCTGGAATGTGCTCTCTCCTTGTTTTTCAGAAAGTTCTTTCCATGCTAAACATATATTTACTCCTCAGGCCCACTTTGACAGCCTATGTCACAAAGGTCATCAGGGCCCGTCAGCTACTTGACTATCTCATAGTTAGAACATTCTTTCTATCTTCCATAGAACATATCAGTCTTTTTACCCCCCTCGAAATTGGACTTTAACTCGCAATTGCGAAAGTCAGAAAAAGAAAAAAAAGTCAGAATTGCGAGATATAAACTCGCAATTGCGAGAAAAAACATCACAATTGTGAGATAAAAAGTCGTAATTACCTTTTTTATTTTTTATTCAGTGGCGGAAACGGGCTTCCATAGAGATCTTTCAAAGCAGCTTCACAGTATTAAACAGGAAAGTAACAGAATCAATGATGCAAACTTCAAAACTGGGGCAAATCCTAATTCTGCTCTAAAGTAGCTGTAGCAAGACAATAGTGTCTTTATTCAGCTTCAGTCAGTTCGGTGTCGGTTTAGTTCAGTAACTATTTGAAGTTCATTCATTATGAAACCAGTTCAATTTAGCGATTAAGCAGCTCTACCGAAAACAGTAGTGACATTATTCAGCTAGAGAAATAATAATGTTGATTCAATTGAGTTCCAGCAGGTTGAAACATGAAGGCAGAGCTGCTGTTTAGATAGCAGTAAGCAACTGGCTTACCGATGGCCATAAAATGTGTTTTGGTTCCAGCTGGTCCTAGCATGATACGCTCATAGCTGGCTGTAGAGATCTGTGCCCAGAGCTCATCTAGTTCTTCGGTTTATCATCACATATCATCTCATCGGGGTCTTCACTGATTGTGAACGGCTGTGTTGGGGCCGTTCCTGGGTGCAGGTCCAACATCTGGTCGTATTTCTAAGCTGTTTATTCCCTTTTTGCTTCTTTGTTGTTTCTGGCCTGAGCCATTCCCACCTTTGTTTTCTAGATTGACCTGTTTTGTTTGTTGTTGTTTTTTTATTTATTGGTCTATAGCAGAGCTTCAGCCATGCACAAGTGCTTCCTGACATTACCGAATCCCATAACTTAGCAGAAAGGGCTTTACAATATATTGTCATAAAATTTTTTGAAGCTATTTGTGAGTGGGAAATGGATTTTGTTAAATTACAGTATGTAAATGAATGATTGCAGGCCATTTCAAACCAATTTTTTTTTCTAGACTTTAGTTCATTACCGCTCCTTCACCTGCTGTTTGGAATTGGTTGTCTGTTTGCTCTCTCTTTCTCTCTCTCTCTCGCTCTCACTTGTGTTTGTTCTGTTTAGAATCTGTTCATCTTGGATTTGATTGGATTTCAAAATAAAGGCTTATCTGAATAATTTGTCATCCGAGCTCTTTAGTACCTTTTTTGAAAGCCCCAATGAATACTTTTTAAACATTTTTAGTGGTTAGAGAGTCAGACTTGTAACCCGAAGGTCGTGGGTTCAATTCTCAGAACTGGCATGAATTTTAGGTGGGGGGAGTGAATGAACTACGCCGTCTTCCACCCTCAATACCCACGAGCAAGGCACCGAACCCCCGATTGCTTAAATGGCTGCCAGGTGTGTGTCCTCAGTGTGTGTGTGTTCACTACGCACTGCTGTGTATACTCACTTGGATGGGTTACATGCAGAGCACAAATTCTGAGTATGGGTTAACATACTTGGCTCCACGTAACGTCACTCACTTAGAATGTTTATTCAGCAGAATCTTACAGAAATGTCTTCTCTTCCGTGTCTTCAACATGTTCATGAGAATACAATGAAGCATGTGTGTGGTGTTGCTGATGCAGGAGCCGGCGTTCTGTTCTTTCTTAGTTCATCATCTGAACATTCTGGTTCAAACATGTAAGGCTGGGCAAAAAATTGCAAGTCGTCCTCTCTGTCGAAATCTTCAGACATGTTTTATGTACAGCATGTGTCTTCCTCTGCTGTAAACCAGGTGAGAAGCATCCGGGTTCTACATCAAAACGCTGACTCCTGCATCTGCAGCACCACACGCAAGTGTCTTGGTACTCTAGTGAACGTGAGTCGAAGACTGACACGGAAGAGAAGAAATTGTTGAATAAAGCTGTTATTTTTGTTTTCTTTGCGCACAAAAAAGTATTCTCTTAGCTTCATAAAATTAAAGGGGTCATATGATGCGATTTCAAGTTTTCCTTTCTCTTTGGAGTGTTACAAGCTCTTGGTGCATAAAGAAGATCTGTAAAGTTGCAAAGACTAAAGTCTCAAATCCAAAGAGATATTCTTTATAAAAGTTAAGAGTCAGCCACACCTAAAGCGGCTCGTTCTAACATGCCCCCACATATCTAGGTCACTATGTGGAAATATTAGCATAATGCCGCCCAAATGTGCACGCGAAGAAAGAAGGCGTGGTTTCAGGAACAGCAGTGTTGATGCCGCTATGTCAGGGAGACGCTGTGTTTCAGTGCTAAAGCAAAAGCACTTTATTTGGCCTTCCGGAAGTAGATGCAATTAGGAATCATTGGTTAAGATTTATTTACAACAGAACAGCACAACCCAGATGTTCGAATTTGTACAACGCATTTTATGGACGACAGTTTTTTGAACCTAGAAGAGTACAAAGCTGGCTGTGCACAAAGGCTATTTCTAAAAAAAATATGTTGTAAGTATGTAAGTATGTTTTGTTATTAGTTTAAGTATTTGCTATTGACTGTTCAAATGCGGAGTTTTGCGCAGCACAGAGTAACGCGTCGTGTGTGTGTGTGTGTGTGAGAGGGGAACAGGGTCACATCACAGGAGAGTGAACTGCCTGTCAGAAATCATAGCACGTCAGCTGTCTTAACCGCGGCTTGTGTACTGCATCATCACTGTGTCTGTCACGCGACTCTGTTGCCCTTTCGGGCTTGAACTGATGGTAAAACTAACGACATTATTAACCGTCTTGATATTTACTTTGAAAGCTGACGCTCACGAATATGGTAAGGGGCATTACATTTCCCACGCGTGCTTGCAGTGTTCGGCCAATCACAATGCACTGGGTCAGCTGGCCAATCAGAGCAGACTGCGCTTGTCAAAGGAGGGAGCTTTGTTGAAAACGACGTGTTTGAGAGAGGCGGGGCATAGAGGACCTACAATAATGTACAGTATTTGAAAAATCATGTGTTTTTTTAACATTAAAGCATGTCAAGTTGTCAACATATTCTGTTACACCAAATACACAAAATAATGATCTTTAAAATAGCATCATATGACCCCTTTAAGGTTGAACCACTGATGATGTCCTTACTACTTTTGTGGGCCTTGAACGTGGTAGTCACGTTGCTGTCTGGGTCAGAAAGCTCTTGGATTTCATCAAAAATATCTTAATTTGTGTTCCGAAGATGAACAAAGGTCTTATGTCTTCTTACCGACATGAAGGTGAGGAATTAATGACAGAATTTTCATTTTTGGGTGAACTAACCCTTTAAGGCAAATTCCTGTCACTGTAAAAAAAAATCATGTCACTGGTCAGATACAGTAAACCTTTATAGCAGAAAGAAAAGACCTTTCATTAAAAAACTTTTTATATATCAATCTCTTAAAGTAACTAGTTTCCTCTTAAAGTAAAACTAAACAGTATTAGTCTTTCAGACTGTTGTATATTAACTCAGTGTTTATTTTTGTTTATATATATAAAATGTTATTCGCTTTGTGTGTAAAAGTTGCAACAAACGAATTGTAATGCAAGTTGCACAAGGTACACATAAATACTGTACAGGTTGCATTAGATAACTTATTGTTTGCTTATCACTGTTCAGTCAGACTGATTTTTTCCCTACCTCAGTTCTGCATAAAGTATTTGGACACTTACGCCACCTGTAAGATGTACGTCAGTGCACTGGATAAATGTAATTGTCCTGCTCTATGCATGCATGCGAATTCATAGAATGGTTCATAAAGGATGATGCAAGTGAGACGGGTTGCAGTAAAAGTAGCGGAGTTTACGACTTCCTGTTACTATTCTTTCGCAAAATGTTTTATTTCCAATTAGTTAAATGACAACGATGATGATAATAATAGTAATAATAGGTTAAATCAGGGGTAGGCAAGTTCGGACCTAGAGAGCCGCAGTCCTGCAGAGTTCAGCTCCAACCCTGAAAACAAAACTCACCTGCCTATAGCCTTAGTAATCCTGAAGACATTGATTAGCTTGTTCAGGTGTGTTTGATTAGGGTTGGAGCTGAACTCTGCAGGGCTCTCTAGGACCGAATTTGCCTACCCCTGGGCTGAATGATCATTAGACTACGACAGATTATTTCCTTGTTTGTTGTGCATAGTGCCTGTGATATCCAATAAAATGCAATTTAGTTTACATTACATAACTCACTTGATTTTTGCTGATTTTTTAAATTTTGTAATTTTCCTTTTTGGTTCTCACTTGTTACAGTCTATATTACCTGTTTGTCTATGGATATTTTTGTCTATTAGTGTCCAAAAAGAAGCTTCCCAAAAAATGAACATCTGTTCCATTGAATCAGCGCTCCTGTCAACCAGTTGTGGAAAGTATGTGTGCATTGAAGGCAGGCGCAGGCGCAGGCCCAGGCCCAGTCAATCTCTTGAGCTGGTCACGGAAAATCGACAGGAAAAAGACCTTGAAAACTCAGCTAAAGGTCTGAACCGGTGTTGTTCCACTGAATGCTTCAAATGTTTCTTTGGTTATCTAGAACTGGCCTCAGTAACTCTTAAATTAAGATTTTTGGAGACTGGACTGTTTGGGTTCTTTCAATTCCATGTTCTTTTTTTTAAGTTATAACTAGTTGTATAATGGCGCAAGGAATGACAGTGATAACGTCGTTAGAATCGCAGTGATTATGTGTCTGTGACACAGTAATTAATATATTACACATAACTGTATAATGTGATGATTTTCATGTCATTTTTAGTTACTTGTTTTTTGTACTACTTGTACTTTGAAGTCAACAAAAAAGAAAAAGCAAATATAGCAGTTAGAAATAGTAAATCAGAATCCGAATGAGCTTTATTCGCCAAGTGCGCGCAAACACACAAGGAATTTGTTGTGGTTTCCAGGGGGCTCTGTGTAAATAGCTTCATATACATACATACATAACACTAAATAATAGAAAGAGCATTTAAATAAGTGAGATTAAGAAAATAAAATTAGAAAATATATTAAAAATGAAAAATAAATAGTTTCTTCATTGGAACAGATTTTGGAGAAATGGATCCTCTGCAGTGAATGGGTGCCGTCAGAATGAGAGTCCAAACAGCTGCTAAAAACATCACAGTAATCCAGTCAACTCCAATCCATTTAATGTATTTTTAAGTGAAAAGCTGCATGTTTGTAAGAGACAAATCCATCAGAGTCCATGCATAATATAACGCTTCCGTCAGTGAAAATGCATCCCCCGTTGTCCTCCCACATCAATCTTATGGATTATTGTGATGTTTTTATCAGCTGTTTGGACTCTCATTCTGACGGCACCCATTTACTGCATTAAAAGCTGCTGAGCAAGTGATCTAATGCAAATGTTCTTAAAATCTGTAACAAACTCATCTACATCTTGTATGGCCTCAGGGAAAGTAAATGTTCATTTTTAGGTGAACTATTCCTTTAATGAAAGTGTTTGCATTGTGACTTAATGTAATGCTAGTAATATGATTGTATTTTCTTCTTCAGTCAAGGTGTATCATATTTTGTATGGAACCAGAAAATGCATGGCTTTTTGCTTTGAGGTGAATAAAAAGTCAGTTTTCCCTGTTGTTACTCATGGTAAAGAGGTCAAATTTAAGGTAATGTCTCAGACACTGAATTGCAAAGAAATCATTTATTGTTAGACGTGGTGTCAAATACATTCTTGTGCTTTTATTTGATAATTTCTGATTTTATATAATGGCTCTCACGTATACAGGTTTTACCCACAGACAAGCCGATCACGGCAGGAATCTTTGACCAAACGTTCTTATTTCAATGGGATGAGCAAGACAGGCATGGAGACTGGAAGAGTTTGAAATCAGTGGCTGAACCCAGCATGTACTTGATTGATGAAGAAAATGGCAAAGAAAAGAGCAAAGTGATCATCACAAATGAGCGGAGTCCGATTTTTAAAATCTGTTACACAGATATGAAAATAGGTAATTTTGCCAAATGTTTGTGAGTGGAATATTGTACTTTGTGCATATTTAACATGTTTATGTTAAACTGAAGTGATGTTCTGCATTCTAGCAGGTTTAACACAATACATTGTAAAAACTACATAGCAAGGGACTCATCCATGCATTGATTTTCTAAAACATGGCAGATAATGGGTTGCAGAGTCTCTGTAGATCTGGCAAATTCCAAGAGAACACGATGAAAACTTCATGCAGAAAGACCCCCTGGCAAAGACGGGACTCAAAACAGGGACCTTCTTGCTGCAAGAGAGCAGCACCCACTAAGCCACTGTGCTGCTCTGAAAGGTAACTATTCTTATTTGTAGACTTCACGTTTGTAAAGAGCACTGCTATAAAAAGTGCTATATCGTTGTATATCGTTTCAGACACCCAAAAATGCTTTCAAAGTGAATAACTTATACCATAAAGATATAATTTATGATTGTCTCTGACTGTTCTTTAAAAAACACTTGAGCATATTTAAACAAGTCTTGAAATAGTGAGTAGGCTATTAGTACGCAGTATCCTATCAAGGTGATATCAACTTCCATCGACATTAACCCTGTAAAGTCTGACATGAAATAACAGCCTGAAAAAAAAAAATCTAATTTTTTGAAATGGAACACTTTGTTTAAAAAAAAAAAAAAGTGTCAGGCTTTTATGGAAAATAAGCACCTCAATTTTATTTACAGGCTCAAAAATATGTCATTTGGTGCAATTGCTGATGGATCATATTTGATACTTGTGATTTTTCATGTATGAATAATCAAGTAAGCCTAAGTTGCTTAAGTTCATTAAAGGTGAACTAAGCGATTTTTGCCAAATGATGTTGATATTTGAAAGCACCAAAACAAACATGCCCATACCCCAACAGGAACCCGCCCCTATTTTGATAACTCCGCCCCACACGTACATACACAACCCTGCCAGCGACGATGGCGGTATCTGCTATGCCTGCCGACTGCTGCATATAACAAAAGCTAACACAGAATAGTCGTGTGAAAAAGCAAAATCAATGTAACTCACCTATCAAAGCAACCTCGGCGTCCCATTCCCTTCCGCTCTTTTGAGTTCTCTCCACCGCTGGAAGCTGCTCCCAAATTTATGCGGGTCCTACCTCTTGCCTGATCGTAACCCTTCCTTTTAATGTTTTGTTCCTCTGAAATTTTCCTCCTTTTTAAAATTTTTTATCTGCCATATCGATCAGCTAATATCTGTTCTGTGCACTCACTGAGCGCTCTCTTCTCTACTAGACACACCCCTTACTGCTGATTGGCAGCGAGTGTGTTTTGGGACTCGGTCCGACACTGGTTGGGAAAGGGTTTTTCCAAATATTGCTTAGTGCACCTTTCATTAAGTGTTCATCTTGAAATATTAATAACAATATAAAAGTTATTTTTATGGTTATTTTTTTTTTTTTTAAATCATCAAGATTTCACAGCAAAAAGACATGCGTACCATGATCTGAAGGGGGACAGTTATTATACTAAGACCTTTTGCTTGCTAAAAAAGTATAAACTATGAAACTGATAACAGAAGGCATGTAGTAGATTGTGTACAACAGGTTTTTGATCATGTTGATCATTTATTGGCCTTTGAAATTTGAGTATCAAATAAGATGATGATAGCCTACTAAAGGGAATCTTTCTCATTTTCAATCTTTCACAGCAAAACCAAGAGGATGTAATATCAGTGAAGAGCTGAATGCGTTTCACAAGCTTTCACCAACAAAAGGGCTCTGATCAGTCTGCATCTGCTGCAGGGTCCTTTTCTTGGATGGATGCTGAGAACATGTGAGAGCAAGTGGAGTGATTTCTTTCTGGTTCTTTGAGGCATGGCATTTTATCCATTTATTTGCATGTTTGCCTTTTTGTTGTAACCTAGTAAATATTACTGACATGCAGTTTTAGGTTCAAACTCAGTTGCATTATTACTATACAAACTGGCACTGTTTAGTTTGTCACAATGAAAGTATTTGAGCTAATAATTACATGGCTTATCAAAATGTTTAAATAAGCCAAAGACGTTACACAGGAACCTAACCCTTTAGTGTCATATTCTGTGAATCACATGCCTTTCTTTCACTTTTAACTATGTTCAAAAACTATTTGTGTTGCTTAATATTCTTGTGGAAACCGTGGTATACTACCATTTAAAAGCTTGTGCTAAGTAAGGAAGCAATTATTTTAAATTGTAATAATATGTCACAATTTTATAATTTTTAATGTACGATTTTTGTTGCTTAATATTCTTGTGGAAACCGTGATGAAATTAAGGTCCTGCTGTCGGAGAGGTTCGTGCGGGGACGCTTTTTATTTAATAATGTGTAATTATTCTGTGGACTGTTGTTCAAAATTACTACTTCTAGAAACAACAGAACTAATAATAATAATAATACTAATTATAAAATAATTTTGTTGCTTAATATTCTTGTGGAAACCGTGATGAAATTAAGGTCCTGCTGTCGGAGAGGTTCGTGCGGGGACGCTTTTTATTTAATAATGTGTAATTATTCTGTGGACTGTTGTTCAAAATTACTAGCCTACTTCTAGAAACAACAGAACTAATAATAATAATAATAATAGTAATTATAAAATAATTAGGTTTCCAAATGTAAGAATAAACAACGAATAAATACAATTATATAATAAATAATAATACAATTATAAAAGCCGGTCTGCAAAAAACCCTGCATGTGATTTGTCATTTCTTTATATTTACAGAACAGGCGGAGATGCGTTTATGCTTTTTTTTTTCTATTTTACGCATTAGTAGTAGGCTAAATCTAGACTTCGCAAGTTCTCGTGTAAAATAAAATAATAAAAACCGTGGAATAAACTGTACAGGAAGCGAGTAATGAACTCTCCACATTAGGCTACTAAAAAGGTCAGTTTAATCTCGCAAAAATCCCGTTAATAAAACAAATCTGACCACACTGCACAATTAATCTTTGTTGCATCTTTGTTGTTTGATGAACTCGGTGCTTGCGCGTAGGTAACGTTACACAGCTTTTATTGTTATTGCAGTTTAGATATTCAAATAGCTGCAGTACTCAGACTTTACCACAAGGAAAAGTGCGTACACCTGAGACACATAAAGCCTATTCGCACGGGGTTAGTATTACCTGGTGACCTCCAGTCATTTGTAACAGATAATACTAATCCCGTGCGAATAAGACCGTTTTTATAAATATGAACGTTGCCGTGGATTTTAGCCTACGCACACTCTAAGATCAAATCTGTGCGTACGCGCATTTTATAAATGAGGCCCCTGGTGTAGTCATGTGGGACACAACGAAGAGTCAGTAAACATTCAGACAAGCGCGACCTCTGCTGGTGAAGCTGCCACTCTGATTACATGCTGTTGTGTAACGTTATCTGAGGCAGATTCTGCTGAACACAGATCAGCATTTGAGGACGACTCTTATCAGTAAAGTGCTTTGCACTAGAGTTGGTATAGCGTATGCTACATCTAATATGCATTGCTTTTCTAGTAGTGATCTGCAAATGTATATTCATGTATTTGTTAACCATATTATGTAAAAACTGCAAAGCAGCTCATTCTGTAAGCTTAGCATTCTGATGCATGTTGACTATGAATTATATATATATATATATATATATATATGCATGTATTTCTTTTTTTATTTACATATTGTATTTTTATTTTTTTGACAAAATAAGCACATCTTATTTCTGTATTATACATTGACTAAATAATATAGGCCTATATGTATGACTACCAAATAAACATATATTTTCTGGTTTATTTGGCTTGTTGTGAATGAATGACAATGTAGAGAAAGTGAAAAAGATTATCAGCTGCCCTTACACAAATCTCAAAACAGCTGACAAATATGGCATTTAAAAAATATATTTTTAATTCAATCGGGGGGGGGGTAAAAGTGCACAAATATATGCACTTTAGCTTGTTTCACTATAAATATGAGAGCATACATGGCAACATGAAAGCTAAATATAGCCCTGGAAAGCCGGCAGTGCACAGAAGAGCTTTTCGGTCATGAGTCACGTCCCTCTGATGCCCTGCTGCTCACGCTCCTCATCATCACACTCTCCTCTTTCTAGTGATGGAGTACTTGCCTCCAAATCACAATCCCTGTCCACTGTTCTGAATTATTTGTAGGTACTCATTTTGATAGACACTTTTATCCTAGGTAACTTATGACCTGCATCTAAAGAAATGTTCCATATTGGCAAATCAAGAAGTGAACACGGTAACACATTTGTTATTTACAAAAATGTCCTTAAAATGTCCTTGAAACATGGCCCTGCAGTACTGTGAGTATTGTTAGCTCTTGTTTGATAAAGTGCTTGTGAATAGAATAGAATAGAATGAGGAATTTGTTGTGGTTTCCATGAGTTCTGGGCAAGGTTATTATAGTTAACTAAAACCTTAAAGAAATGTATTGAAATATATATATTTCTAAACAAAATAAAGTAACAAAAAACAAAAGGAAAACAGAAAATATAAAAATATAGTATATTATATTATTATATAATGTAAAAAAATTATTTCAAAATATTAACAAAAACTAATACATTGTGCAACTAATATGTAGCCAATGGGAAGTGGAACTATTGTTAAATGCTCTGCCTGCTGGCACATAAGCACTGCAAGGTGAATGGAGATCTCTCAGGATTAGTGGATTGAGTGTGACTGTTCAGTATGAAGCTCTCGGCACAGTCTGAATGAACAGAACTGAATGTCCTGTAAAAGACAAATCATAAAAAGCCCATCACCTTCAACTCAACCTTGCCAAGACAGAACTGCTTGTGGTTTCAACAAACCCATCACTTCATCACAATTTCACCATCCAGTTAGGCTCATCAACCATAACTCCTTCAAAGACAGTCAGATACATTGGAGTTATGATTGATGATCAGCTGAATTTCTCAGACCACATTGCTAAAAATGCCCAGTCCTGCAGATTTGCTTTATACAACATTAGGAAGATCAGGCCCTTTCTTTCGGAACATGCTACACAACTCATTGTTCAAGCTCTTGTTTTGTCCAGGCAGGACTATTGCAATGCTCTCTTAGCAGATCTTCCAGCCAATTCTATCAAACCTCTACAACTAATCCAGAATGCGGCTGCAAGATTAGTCTTTAAAGAACTGAAAAGAACGCATGTCACACCTCTTTCCATCAGTTTACACTGGCTAATAGCTGCTCATGTAAAATTCAAGGCATTGATGTTTGCCTACAAAACCACCACTGGCTCTGCACCCCTTTACCTAAATTCACTACTTATAGACTTATGTGCCCTCTAAGCTTGCGTTCTTCAAGTGAACAACACATTATAGTGCCTTCCCAAAGAGGTACAAAATAACTTTCACTGACTTTTACATTAACTGTGGGGGGGGGGGTAAAAGTGCACAAATATATGCACTTTAGCTTGTTTCACTATAAATATGAGAGCATACATGGCAACATGAAAGCTAAATATAGCCCTGGAAAGCCGGCAGTGCACAGAAGAGCTTTTCGGTCATGAGTCACGTCCCTCTGATGCCCTGCTGCTCACGCTCCTCATCATCACACTCTCCTCTTTCTAGTGATGGAGTACTTGCCTCCAAATCACAATCCCTGTCCACTGTTCTGAATTATTTGTAGGTACTCATTTTGATAGACACTTTTATCCTAGGTAACTTATGACCTGCATCTAAAGAAATGTTCCATATTGGCAAATCAAGAAGTGAACACGGTAACACATTTGTTATTTACAAAAATGTCCTTAAAATGTCCTTGAAACATGGCCCTGCAGTACTGTGAGTATTGTTAGCTCTTGTTTGATAAAGTGCTTGTGAATAGAATAGAATAGAATGAGGAATTTGTTGTGGTTTCCATGAGTTCTGGGCAAGGTTATTATAGTTAACTAAAACCTTAAAGAAATGTATTGAAATATATATATTTCTAAACAAAATAAAGTAACAAAAAACAAAAGGAAAACAGAAAATATAAAAATATAGTATATTATATTATTATATAATGTAAAAAAATTATTTCAAAATATTAACAAAAACTAATACATTGTGCAACTAATATGTAGCCAATGGGAAGTGGAACTATTGTTAAATGCTCTGCCTGCTGGCACATAAGCACTGCAAGGTGAATGGAGATCTCTCAGGATTAGTGGATTGAGTGTGACTGTTCAGTATGAAGCTCTCGGCACAGTCTGAATGAACAGAACTGAATGTCCTGTAAAAGACAAATCATAAAAAGCCCATCACCTTCAACTCAACCTTGCCAAGACAGAACTGCTTGTGGTTTCAACAAACCCATCACTTCATCACAATTTCACCATCCAGTTAGGCTCATCAACCATAACTCCTTCAAAGACAGTCAGATACATTGGAGTTATGATTGATGATCAGCTGAATTTCTCAGACCACATTGCTAAAAATGCCCAGTCCTGCAGATTTGCTTTATACAACATTAGGAAGATCAGGCCCTTTCTTTCGGAACATGCTACACAACTCATTGTTCAAGCTCTTGTTTTGTCCAGGCAGGACTATTGCAATGCTCTCTTAGCAGATCTTCCAGCCAATTCTATCAAACCTCTACAACTAATCCAGAATGCGGCTGCAAGATTAGTCTTTAAAGAACTGAAAAGAACGCATGTCACACCTCTTTCCATCAGTTTACACTGGCTAATAGCTGCTCATGTAAAATTCAAGGCATTGATGTTTGCCTACAAAACCACCACTGGCTCTGCACCCCTTTACCTAAATTCACTACTTATAGACTTATGTGCCCTCTAAGCTTGCGTTCTTCAAGTGAACAACACATTATAGTGCCTTCCCAAAGAGGTACAAAATAACTTTCACTGACTTTTACATTAACTGTTCCCTCCTGGTGGAATGACCTGCCCAACTCAATCCGAGCAGCTTTAAGAATCGGCTAAAAACAAAAATCTCTAACATCTTCATTTGACCCTTTAACTCTAGCACTCTCTATTCTAATGCTAAAACAAACAAACAAACAAAAAAAAACACTTGACCCTCTAACACTTGCACTCTATTCTATTTCTATTCTTACTACTTGTTTTCTTTAAAAAAAAAGATCCTCTGACACTAGCATTCGCTATTCTTTTTTCATTCTATCTTCTTGTTTTCTTTTTATTTATTATGACAAAATTATGTAATTAATACATAT